ATAATAATTTCATTCATTTGTTTTGTTTCAGTAACATATGTTTGCTGCGAATTCCTCGATTCGTAATCAATGAACTTGACTTTTCGATATCCAGGTGAACTTGAAGAGCTCAATATCAACTTATTCTCCAGTGTATTTGAACTATTAAAATGCACTGATCGTAAATGATAAAGTATCATGAGTATTTGATCCAGGAACCTCTACAGTCCCCACTGGTGACATAAACTTTTTACTGATTCATAGTTGAATGTTAAGAAGATATAAATTGAAAGGCTAATGATATTCCAAAAATGATTTCTTAATTAAGCCTCCAATGTAAACTGAACACTCACAATTAATATTGCTTAATGTTAAGTGTATTGTAAAGCAAAAATCCGAAGCAATCAAACTTTTATTGAAGCATTTAAAGCAAAAATAGCGTTTACTAATTGAATGAACAACAGCATGATTTAAAAGAGTTAGTAAATGTCTCTTATTGAATCTATCAAGCAAATAAGTAAAACATTGCTGTTCACAAGAGCTGATCAATAGAAGAAAATTTCTAGAGTGGATAATGAAAATTGCTGAGTTTCACATGAACAAACAAACAAGCGCAATATGAAAATCGTAACCGGCATAAACTATTTCCAAATGTTTTCGGAGATATCTTCAGATGAAACCAAAACGAAAGCAATGCAACAATGTCGAAAATTATTTCACAAATCGTTAAAATCATCTCAAAATTAAAATAAATTATATATATGTAGTTAAAATTAAAATCATGTTGAAATCTGACAGTGAAACTGAATCCTTCAAAACTCTGTTTCTAAATCATTCACAAACATAATCCACTGTACACCGCAATTTTATGGTTATCGAAAAAAACCTCAAACATTTATTAATTCATTCAATAATCATCCATTTATATTCTAACTTAATAAGAATTCACTGACTGCAAGCTTGACAAGTTCTTAAATCGAACGTGCACCATTCTGATTCACTCATCAAACACCAATGAGGATTTGGCTCATCGGAAAGCCAATTGAAGTCTTGTACTCGACGCCAATTGTTATTCGTGTCGATCCAATCCAGCTGAACGTCTTTAACGCGATAAGGAGCTATTTGGAATTCATCACAATCTTCAATAACAATCGCACTTCGAACAGCTATATGCAGCTTCAGCTCACGGCTATCGTGAACTCGAATTTGATGAGCTGCAGCCACCAAAGTTACACTCGAGCAGTTACGTATGAGAATTGATGATGAGACTGGCGCTAGAACGATACAACTGTTGTGGATATTCTTCAGATGCACTGTAGACGCTTGGAAGCCAATACTTAGATGACAGTTGTTCAGCGACGATATGAGCACATCCTCACCACCTTGCCCGTTTACTTTGATGAACTCATTCTCCTGAAATTAGATGAGTCAGAAAAGGGAAC